CTCATCTTTTCATTCCCTCCTGCTCACCCTCTCCTCTGTAGTTCAACCCCAACACTCCTCTTAAGGCTATGCTCTTCTGCTGGGGCCCCTATGGCATCCTGGCTTTCTACGCTGCTGTGGAGAATGCCAGCCTGGTTTCCCCTAAGCTCAGAATGGTAAGGACAACTGATACATACTTGTACACAAATACCCTGAACTATAATTCATATATTTTAAAAATGCAGCTCATATAAACTATAAACTGCATTTCGAAATGTGATGTTATGCAATTTTTTTTTTTGCACCCCCTCTGGCAGTATAAAAAAAGACATGCAGAGAAAATCCTTGAATAAATGGTCTTAAGAAAAATACATAGACTTTTTCCCCAGGATTATCTCGTTTTTCACCATGAGAATAATTTGAATTATCCTAATATGCAATGCACCTCAAGTTCTTTTTAACCTTCTTGTTCTTGTACCTCTCTGCAGACTGCTCCTATCCTGGCTAAGACCTCTCCGACCTTCAATGTCTTCCTGTACGCTTTGGGAAATGAGAATTATAGAGGAGGCATCTGGCAGTTCCTCACTGGAGAAAAGATTCCTGTGCCTCAAACTGAGAACAAGTCCAAATAAGGTTAATGCTGCTGAAAGGCATACAGATTATAAAGCATCCAGTTTCTCCCTGGAGGGACTAGTGCAGCAGTGGTTCACTGTCCCACTTAGTAAAAATATTTGGACTTGCCTACTTCTGTAATAAACAGGATTTTTTGGAGTTCATATCAAAATGTAATGAGATTTTTATTATTAAGTAAGGGATGACATTTATTGTGAGTTTATCTTAAAACACGTTCACAATCCCTGCTTCTTGTGAAGTGATGTGAGATACATACCCCAGGGCTCTCTCTATTTCTCTATAGTCTCTAAATGTATTTTATCCTGTCCGCTCTGGTCTCAGAATCAAGGGCTCCTGTCTGTCCACAGAGCTAAAAAAGAAATCTGCAGGCAACAGGGCCTTCACCTCTCGGCGCCCCTTCCTCTGGAATAACCACCCTGTTTCCCTGACATTCTGACTCTATAAAGGGCTTTAAATCAGAACTTAAAACCCATTTTTATGCCTCAACTGTCAATTAGTGGCTCATTACCTCAGGCTGTTCACCTGCACCATTACCCCACTGGCAGGACAGTCTCAGTTTCACTGAATCTGTTAACCCTACTGAGTTCTCTCTGTCTCCCTTGTGTCCACATTGTCCCTGTTTTGCTCTACTTCTGTGTGTTTGTTTTATTTCTCCAGATGTGCTTCAGTTTCCCTCTGTGTGTTTGTGTAGTCTGTGTTCTTTCCAGGTCTTTGGGAGAAGTCGTCCTGTGGCCTGCTGTAGGTCCTATTTGTTGGCAGCACCTGGACATTGCTTGATGTGTTTCAACATTGTATTCTTCATATATATTTAAAGTCCATGATGTTGTCATCCTGAGTGTCCATACTTGCAGTTTTACTACATCCTTTATTTTGTACACATAGCGGGTATTGCATGTTTGTCCATCCTGGAAGAGAGATCCCTCCTTTTTTTTGTACATTGATAGAATTAACTAGTCCACTGGCTGACGCCTCTATTACCAAGAGGCCTTCTTGTGTTCAGAATCCTTTTGCCGTTCAGTTCAACCTGTTAAATCAGTGTGCTTCCTCCACTATAATATAATATAATGAAACAAATGGACATGTGACAATAATATACATTCACTCTTGAAACAACAATCAAATGCACACCTACAGTAACACATTAAATATTAGAATAAAAATGTATTTGCTTTGAAGAAACAGTATTGTTCCTGGAATAGTGTTTCAGTGTAATCTGGATTAAAGTGGTGCTCTGCATCACTGCTCTCTGGAAATCGCTGTTTTAGTTCATTGAACTCACTTTGACCAGTAAAGAGATAATATTGTGAACATATGACACTATTTACACCCTGACTTACACACCTACTGTGCACATAAATACAAAGAGAACTGAACATACTGTAGGGA